AGGGGGGCTGGTTATCGCTTGGGAGCGGTTTCTGTCACTATGGCAGCACCGACTTCAGCGCTGGGGGTCTTTTGAGTCTCTGCTGGTCGGTCCCTTCACCTCATCCGGGAGGAGGAGCCCGCACGTTGAGTTGCAGTGAACCGCCCGAACGATGAGATGTGAGGAAATTCGTTATTTCCCCCAGCGGCGCCGTTTTCAGGCCGTCAGGGGTAAGCCGACTTGCGAAACGGAGGGGCCTGCCTGTACTGATCGGAAATGCCATGTGGCTCGTGCCGGGGCTACCCATGAGAGTCCTTCGAGACGATTCTCTGTCCATATTATTTCCAAAGTGCCTCTCCACTGGACGCCCAGATCAGTGGGCGTATTCCTCATCAGACCGGCGAGCAATTCGACAGGAGGTTGGAGCTCGAAAAGGAGGCCCTCGGTACGGACGGCAAATAGCAAAGACCGCCGTCATGCCGAACGGGGGCTTACGCAGCATGTAGATGGTACACGTAGAGTGTCGGTCACGGGAATGGCGGGCGTGTCAGGAACCTGTCGAGAACCAACAGCGCCAACACGAACAATCATCCTGCGCGTTGCAGGTCTCCGCGCGGGCTCAGCAAGGCCAGCAAATGCGCACATGCCTAAGGACATCTCTGACTTCCATCCCGCGCGCAGTGCCGCAGATCCATCGGACGCAATCATGTCCCAAAGAGGGAGACTGCCGGGCCTGCTCGCCAGCCTGCCTCTGTTACCCGCTTACCTACGCCAGGCCCGGGGTCAAATTGACGAGAATCCTTGCACCAACAGACCTCGGGCGATGTGGGCAATATGGACGATGTATCCCTTTTCGATCGACCGGTGAGGGGGCGTAAGCACGGCACGGCTCGGCCAGCTTTTTGGTTCACACACTTGTCAGCCGCCAGGCTTCGGTCTCTGTTTTCTGTTTCCTTTTCTTGCACAGACGCCCGGGAGGTGCCTTCCAGTGGAAACCCGCGCCGCGCCAACCTCCCCGTGATGCGTGCCGTCTGTATGTCTGTGTCGGGAGAGGCCCAATTGTACGATGATGGACTGAGAACATGTGAGACGAGCACAGTATGATGAAAGCTATCCTAGACTCTGCGACATTTTTTGCTGCTCGCCGTAAGACTGTGACCGCCTACCCGCCGCATCTCGTTGGTGTGTATGCGCATGTATGTTTGTGTTGGTAGATCCCCAAGCCAAGCAAAAATCCCCTCCTCTCTCCCCTCCCCCCGGCTGCACACACACCGCGGCCCTCAACGAACTGCCCCCTTCCTCACGCGCAGACAATCACCCCCGACCCCCGGCCACCGCCTCTTCCATCCTTCCTTCACGGCCACGTCTCAATCTTTTCCCACCCGTTGGTCCTCTCCGCACCCTCCTGCGCCTCCTCCGGCTCGTCCGCGCCGACGAGCCGGTACAGCCAGCGGCGCGGGTCCGCCGAGTCGCTCAGGTCCGCACGGTCGACCTTGGTGGGCACGATGACGACGACGCGGAAGTTGTCGCGGGCGATGGGGTCCTGCAGGTCCTCGACCTTCTGGCCGAGCTTGTGGTCGGCGTCGGGCGGGTTCGCGGTGCGCGGGGTGCCTGGCTCCGGATTGCGGAAGGTGCCGCGCATCATGGGGGAGAGGTTGCCGAAGTGCGCGGTGACCTCGCGGGCGAAGCTCCATTCTTCCTCATCGGAGGTGGAGGAAGCGATGTTGGAGCGGACCTCGGAGGGGAAGAGGGTGTCGTCGGAGGTCTGCCGGCGCTGGACCTCGGAGGAGGGCAGGCGGCGCATGCGGGCGAGGAGCTTCTCGCGCACGGAGGCGGCAGGGAAGGAGGGGGAGGAGATGTCCGGGCCGAGGATGTAGGCGTCGCCGCGGATGCGCCACTGGACGCGGGCGGGGGTCCAGAAGACGGCCTCGACGGGGGCGCCGCCGCCGGAGGATGCGGGGTCGGAGCCGGAGCCGGAGGAAGGGTCGCTGTTGAAGAAGTCCGGGACCTTGGCCATGCGCGCGTCGGTTGTGAGGGTGAGCAGGTCGCTCTCGTAGAGGGGCGGGTTGAGCGGGGCCGGGTTCTTGGGGTTGACGGGGAGGGAGGCCCAGAGGCCTCTGTAGATGACGGTGCGGGTGCGCGGGGAGAGGGAGGATGAGGATGAGGAGGTGGATGTGGGAGTTGGGCCGGCGTGGAGGGTTGCGAGGTAGAATTCTGGGGAGGACATTTCGGTGACGTTTTTGAGGAAGGCGGCGCGCCAGGGCGCTGGGCCGGTGCTGGAGGAGGGTGAGGAGGACATGGTGCGGGATGTGAGATGGTGGGATAGTTGTGCGATGCGGCGGGTTGGAGGCATGCGTGGTGTTTGTTCTGTTCAATTGACAGTGACGGTGACGGTGATGTGTGAGGATGAAGATGAAGGTAGGTTGTGGAAGCGGAAGAGTTTTTGGTTTTGCGTGACATTTTCTTTTGTTTTGTTTTGGGCGGCGTGTTCGTCTATGATTCATCATCGGACCCGGTTTAGGGCGTCATGATGCCCGCCTCGACGGTGAGTGAGGCTGTTTGCTTGGTGCGTAATCGTGATTTGCATCGTACTTTGAGAAGCCCGTCGGATTCGATTTCTTTTTTCCTGGTGGTTGGAAACGTAGAGGGCGAATGCGAAGGTGAGTTGTGTGAAGGTCGCAGTGACGGAGACTAGTGCGATGACGTCGGTGAAGCTTGAGATGAGCACGTCGTTCTCGCCATTTCTGGCCCACGCAGGATAGCGACTCGTCAATATCTATTGTAGGATCATTTCTTTGCCTGGATGTATTTCTTCGCGATGATTTCATTACACTTTTGCAATACTTGACTTCGTCCAACCTGTGAACTTGGGCAAACTTGCTCGTCGTCTGCTGCTTGGGCGGTATGAGAAGCAAATTTCAAGGTGAAACATCGAGACAGTCACAAAGAACTTAGCCACAAGTCATTTGCGCTTCGAACAAATCTCTCTTCTTTTTCGTATGTATTTCTTGGCTGTTTATGATGAGAAACCGGGAGGCGGAATAGGGAGTCAGTCTCATCAGTCAGACACGATTGGGCTTGATACTTCTTACAATTGGGCGACAGGGAGAGCCATGGCATTTCACACTGTAGGGCGTCTCTCTTCACGTTCAAGAGCTCTCATAATTGCTTTGATGTAGAACTTTGTAGGCTCTTCAACGGAAGTGATGATGGGCCGCAAAGCCGTTGGCGACCGATGTCATGTCGATTCAGTGCTCATAGCCTCCTGAGGTAGCTAGCCACGCTGTGAAGAAGTTGTTGACAGATGCGTGAATACGCACACTTTGGCCGCCACCTGGAGTAGTTCGCCCTGAATAGAATGGCTGCATCTTCTGTAGCTCTACTTTTACTGTCTTCGTGTCTACCGTCGTTTTCTCTGCGTTGTGTTCTCCGCCATCGTCGTCACTGTTGTGGTCTCTGCCAATATCGTCTCTGCTATCTTGGTCTCTGCTGCCAACCTCATATTGATTTTGGGCGATATTTGACACGACAAGAAACTCTGAGGCCAGCCATTTCCACTTCGCTACTTGTAAGCTATGAGGAATGAAAGCACAAGTTGGGTCACACTCAAATCAAAAGCAACTTTACATCGCACTCTGGGAGTTTATATAAGTGGAAATGAAACTAAACAGCCCCGCCTTTGATTTTGAACAGGCATCGTGATCCGGTCAATTATCTCGTCAAAAGGTCTTCAAGTCAAGGCGGCCAAATCGGAGGCTGCCAACCCCAAAGACTCCAGCCCACTGGGTGGGCTACTAAATCATACATCCTGGGTCTGTACCAGCTCCTACACCGACCCTTCTTCGTTCCTGTCCGGCGGCCCCTAATTTTCACGAGAGAGGGTTCATCAAATTGGGGAAGCACTCGAGGTTCTTGATACCGGCGCTCGTACCGGTCATGATTGCTTCATGTTCCTGAGGTTTGATGTAGAGGGAGGCTACGTTTTGCCAGAGCTTCGGATACAGACCCCGAGCGCGGGACTCAAGCACATTAATGACTGTTAGACTTGGTTGCCAAGATAATTCGTACGGCTCATATCGTTCGCCCTAGCGAAGATCAGACGTTGCAGCTGGTTGTTGACTTGACCATTCGACTAGAAGCCCTGCCCACAGCGGCTCCTATCCACTGCCCCGGCGGTCCCAATATGAAAGCGACTCAGGCCAGATCAAGGTGATCGTCTATCAATATCAAGCAGCAAGCCGTGATAAGTCCACGTCGCAGATGATGCGGGGTTTTGGCAACGACGAATGCAGCGTGGAAGCTACCGTCGAAGCTGATGTCAAATCATACTTAAAAGGCGAGCCCGATCCTAGGTCTTCGCATACCGACACTCTGAACCACTAAGTTGCCCTCGGGGTGGTGGCAGCGTCTTGAGATCATTACTATGGCCCACTCGCAGAGACGTCGAGACGTCTGCATCACAAGTACATACTCGCCAGGTAGTATTCAAAGCATTGCAGCCGCCTGTCGTTACGATGTGAAAACCTATTTTGCCATGTGGAACGGCAACTTTCCTTTGGCTCGTTTACACTCTACGATTCTGCTGTTTCAATGCTCGCTGTTGGCGGGAGTTGAAGAATGGTCCCTGGACCAGCTTTCATTTGACGATAGTTGATGATGTGAATTCAACATTGCCATCTCCCTTCAAAATTATTTGGAAATCTCATACATCTGAAAAAGGAGTCCAAAAACTTCACGGAGTGGGAAGACCGACGACGTCAAAGAGTTCGTGTCATCATTGCTCGTGCTTGCGTGGATGATCTACAGGCTGTCATACGCTAAAACGTTGCCCAAAAATGCAGTACCGACCCCCAGGCCTCCCCTGAGGCATACCGTAGTTGGGCACCTGCCCCTTACTAATCAGACAGACAGTAACGACCGGGACTGAACGCGCCTTCGCTTTCAATATCAAACACCAACCCCAACACCAATTTCAACATCCAGACCCGCCGAATGACTCTTGCAATCCCAAGGCATCACTGTCAGTCAACCAGGAACCGACGCAAATCCTCCTCTCCAAACTCCCATTCCCCTGTTTGCGGGTTCTTTTCCATGGCTCGCGCGATCAACCTACCATGCTCGTCTATACATCCCGACCGATGCTGGAGCCGCCACCACTGCTCTTCGCTGGAGCCTTCCTGGGCGTTGGAAACCTCAAGCATGCGATTGCGGAATGTCATGGCATAGAATATCCGGCTGTCCCACAGACCGTCCCGCCTGGGATTCTCATGGAGGAGGCGTATTGCCTCTGACCGCACCTCGGGATCTCGACACCGCGTACCGGCCATGAAGATGGGCCACGTCGGGCCGGTGTCCATCGTAAACATTTCACCATCGCCCCAGGATCGCTTCTGGTACTCGAAAAGCTGATGCCCTAGTTCGACCACTTCTTGGTACTTGGGCGTCAGCTTGGCGATGCTTTCGTAGCTACAGCTGAGCGGTGCGTGGACGCAGCCATACATCGTCAGATAGTGAGCCCGAAGGTGAGCTGCCTGAGCATACGATTTTTCGTCTTCGGATTTTGACTTTTGTGCAGCTTTCCAGTGTGGTTCGAAGCCTTGGTGCCATCGTTCGAGGACATCTTTGAAATCCTGCCACTGCTCGGGAGTCGCCGTCTTGATGCCTGCTCTCGCCTGTTCGATCTTGTCCATATGTTTTTGGATACGTTCGTTGCACTCTGAGAGCACGTCGTCATCCAAGCCCAGATGGGTCACACGAAAGACGATGCTGGACGAATGGGTTACGTAGTGTTGGACCACGTCCCACCAGCGTCGAGCTTGTTGGAGACTCACGAAGCTTGATGGCATGTTGTGGACGACGCACTTTTCGGCGGATCCTCCTCGGCAACACCACAGCTGCTCGGGCGAAGGGTCGCCATCAGCATCGCTCGGCTTACCGGCAATCTGCTGATCACGCCGCCGGAGAACGCCGCAAGACCAAGATTGCTGGATCAGCCGCTGGAAAACGTGGAGTATATCTCTTTCGACGAAATCGGCACCGATGATGTTCTGCGTGTGGTCATGGTCGTGATAGTCGCGAATGTGTAGGAGTTCGTCCATCATGCGTTGGCCGTTGTTGATGTGGGCGAAGGCTGCCTTTCGATCGCCATGCAATACCTCAAAGCAGACGAACAGCAGACAGCAGACGATTGCCCCACGAAGGCTACCGGTGTCCAATTTCGACCTTCGGACTTCGTGGATGGCCCTGCCATAATATGAAAGGGCGAGATGATAATGAGGGCCATTTGCAGCCATGAGTGCTGGGCTTGTCGGTTTGAGGCTGTGCCGGAGCGCCTTGGAGATGCCGCCAATGGCCATGATGGCGTACCTGACAGACGCATGCTCACGGCTTAACTGAGGAATCGTTTCATTCCAAAGTTCTTCGTCAAAGAAGCCGCCGCCCAATTGAGCCCGATATCCCAGCCAGTGGTCAAAGTATTGTCGTTCGGTTTCGTCTTTGAAAATATTCACGGTTGGCTCGAGCAATAAACTGACATTGCCTGGTTGGTGGCAAGATCCGACATCCTCCGCTACGCGTTTTTTCCTGGCCAGGGCCTGCCTAGTCGCCAATCTGACGCCTTTCTCGGTATCTGGAGCCTGTGTTGAGGTCGCTGATCCGCTCGGAGGGGGCTCGTAGCCTTCGCAGAAGCCTTGCCATTTGACACATCGCTCGCAAGCGGGCTTTACTTCATCACACTTCACATGTCTTCGCCTGGCAAAAATGAGGAACTGGTCGCTTTGGCACAATAAGGTTTGACTCACTTGCCTAATAATCGATTAGTTGACGCCCATCATGTGGCACAGGACGCAGGAACGCCTTACAAGTGATACACCCAGTCTTCACTTTGTTCGTACTGGCTCGAGTAGCCCTAGGCCGCCTCTGGAGAGCGAATGTGAGGATTTGTGGCCCATTTTTCGCACTCCTGCTTCACTTAGCCGTCCGATCGCCACCAATTATATTGCTTGCCGCTCTGCATGCGTGCAGGGTGTGGGTGCTTACTTGGGGGCTGTTGTGTGTTGCACTGGCTCGGACCAGACCACCTCAGGCGCTCGCGACATGAAGAAGTTGATCTGGCTCCCGCCGCGATTGTTTACAACAGATGGCATTTCAAACGTGACGAAAAGCGGAGTAGATACTTTAGGAGATTTCTGAATCGACCAGGAATTCTCTGTTAAGAGCGAAGAGTCGCTTTATAAGAAGAACGGCCGTACAGTGAAGAAGATTCCAAAGGCAGTTGGGGGCCAAATTTGGCCCCCATCGATCCTATGAAGCTCATGGCAGTACCCCTTCGTCACTCTTTCGATCGGCGTCTACCACACGGAGGAAGTGCCCAAAAGAGGCATGGGTCCGTTAGGCCTCCCGAAAGAACATCACCTCGATTGGCTCCCTGAACGCGTTACTTCTCACATCAGGGACCAAGGGGGCCGCAGCCAGGAGGTTGGCACACGGAACTGAGCCCGGGTCCAGTTGAGGCCACAGCGTCCAGCCTTACCAGTCTGCCTTCGTCTTTGTGGTTGGGGTCCAAAACTGACTGTTACTATTAAGAAGGCCTCCCGGCAGCTTTATTGTCATTACAACGTCCATGAGGAAACCATCCATGCGTACGTCAGCAACCAGTATCGTATCTACGCAACAGCGGCAGTGACAGCATCAACACTCAGTCTCAACCACGACCACGAACGCGACGGTGGCATTCTCAAAGTCTTTGAGTTCACGGCGGACCATTTTCCAATCTCAGTACCAGGCATGGCTACCACGTTCCAGCAGAAGACGCAGCAGTTCCACTTCGGAGGAACGCCAGAACAAAAGATCTTCCTCTGGCTCGGCTGAGGGATCCCGATGGCAGGGTGCCCTCATCAGGACTGACAACAGCCAGACATTGGTCCAAGTCCATCAACCCGCCTCGGACCCTGCCTCGGACTTTTGACGCCATGATGCAATACGGGGATGGTTTATCTTGCCGCCTAGACTTTCTTTGCTGGCAGTGCTCTGTTATTTGCTGCCTCGCTGGAGAGGCATGGGTGAAAATGGACAAACGTCAGTGGAGATGTTCCTCTGAACCTTTCAGGTATCTTTGAGTTCATTAGCGCAGCGGGATATGGCAGCGATCACATCGATAGGCCGATAATACGACGAGACTGTTGCGTCTGGACACGGCCTCAACAAAATGACTGTCAGTTCCAAGCCACCTTATTTCAGGTACACCACACGGGCTCAGAGAAGCATACAACGGTTCCCAAAGTCTTTTGCGACGACAGGTGGCAGCTTTTTGCTTCGATCCTTCCCAAACGATTGTTGAGCCCAACCTCACAAGAGAGGCAAAGTATTACAGCACCAGCTTCATGCCCTGAAGATGATCTCACAGTATCTCTTTGGTCCCCATATCGAAGCAAGAAGCGCACCATCGCGAAAACCTCGCTTAACCGAGGAACGGTTCCGCGAAATATAACATCCAAGACCCAGCTTCACCTAATGCCCCGCGTTTGAGTCTCAACTGGCTTGGCTTCAGCCTGGCCCCAATGCAGTTTAAACTCCTTCAGGGCCGTACCGCTTCAGCACCAATGGCATGTCAGACGTCGCCAACCAACGGCGCTTTAGCCCGACAGGCGAATCAGGGTCTCGCAACCGTTTACTTGGGCCGCTCTACGGACCGGCCGAGATCTTTGCAGCACTCGCTAAACCTCATTGAGCAGATTAGACCCTGGACCACGCTGTGCTTACGCCAAGCATTCACGCAACGAACCGAGTGGCATCGCGCTTCTGCATTTCACACATTGCCTACCTGTCGTCACGTTGTCTGCCAGCGCAGAGAGTCCCTATAGGGGAAAAAGGCCACTCATTGCTCGTTCACTGCCCTCTGGTTGTTCTTGGACGCCTCCTCCACCGCTCTTCCATCGAGTCAGTCGCTGTCACTGTTCCTTCACACACGTCTACCGCCATTAATCATATTGACGAAGGGACTTTGGGCCGCTAGTTCGAGACTTTTGTTGGCCCGCAACTTTTTTATTCTTCTGCCTAATCCGATGGCTCTCGCTTGAATGGCAGACTACCCTTCAATATCGCGGAGATCCCGGCATTAGCTGCTGACGCAGGATTTACGGAACCAGGCTGGTGGCCTGATGGTTTGCCGCGGCCATAGTACCCGAGGAGACTAGAATGCAGCAGGGGGACTTTCACTCCTTCTGTCAAGCTCGCGGACGTTATCCACCCGCGAAGGAGATCAACGGGGATGGAACAGGGGATCGCAGCCGGGAAGCGAAACCTCCCGCTATGGAGACTTTCAAAGTGCGAGCCTGGAGTAGTGGGCCGCTCGCCAAAGGATATCTTCGCCTGGATGCAGGCGAGCTCACGAGTTGAGAGTACAACCCAGACCGTGTTCGATTTCTCAAGCGTTTCTTACGTGACGTATTTCGTCAATGCCACAGGGCTGGACTTGCATGGCTGCCTCTCGATTAGACTTGACACCGCACATGAAGCCATGTCGGTGGCCCGGATCACGAGATTGGCCACCGTCTATCTCCGCGGACAACCCAAGAATATGTCGTCATTCATTGCGCTTGGCTCAAGGCAGCAGTTTCGCTTCTGCAGAAGGATTCAAAGTTGTCTTCTTTCGATTATCATGATATTACACATTCATCACGGCGTGTTGAACGCCTCTGGGGAGTAGTCTTCTATCTAGCCCCGGCGTACCAAGGTCATGAGAACCACTGGCTGACGCGCTCGCGGAAGTTTTCTGGCTTCGGCTTCTCAGGGACGTACTCTGACTCGTGAAGACGGCCTGACCACAGGTCGATCTCGTGGGCGCGAACAAACTGCTCATGTTAGCAACTTGATCATCTATGTCTTGATAAGGAAGCAGACAAACCTTGGTGCGGTGGTAAAGCTTCCAGCCGATGATGGGCACAATGAAGATGGGGATTCCAATGTAGGACGAGATAAAGTCCGCAGTGGACCAGTTGCCCTTGAGGAAGACGGAGAAACCGGCGACGAAGGTGATGACGGTGGAACCGACGAAGCCGAACCACGCGGCGTAGGGCTGGAAGGGCGCCTTCCAAGGCAGGGTGTCGCGGCTGACGCCCTGGACCTTCATGGCACGATGGAAGCGGATGTAGCAGAAGCAGAGGGTGGCCCAGGCGATGAGGCCGGCGATGGTGCTCAGACTGAGGAGCCAGTTGAAGGCGTCAGCGGCACCTCCCGATCCAAGACCTGCGGGGCTCGGTTAGTTTCTGTGTTGAGACGAAAGTCAGGGGGTTTGCCCCTCAATATCAACTTACTCAGATAAGCCAAAGGACCAAACAGCCAGGCGGTGATGACGGCCACGTAGGGAACACCCTGCTTGTTCGTGACACCAAAGATTTGAGGGAGTTGTCTGTCGGTGGTCATGGCGACGATCATGCGGGAGCCGACCCAGCAGTAGGAGTTGCCGGCGGACCAGGCGGAGACGAGGATGCAGGCGTTGACGATGGAGGGCAGGATGTTGATGCCGGCCTGGCGGATGGCGATGACCCACGGCGAGCTGTTGGCGTTGCCGGAGCCGGAGACGAGGCCGGGCTCGCGGGGGTCGACGATCAGGCCGATGAGCAGAGCGCCGAAGATGTAGAAGAAGCCGATGCGCATGGTGACGCGGCGCGCGGCGTTGGGGATCGCCTTGTGGGGGTTGACGGATTCGGCAGCTGTAACCACCACGGTCTCAATTCTACGACTTTTTGTCAGCCCTCATTTCTTTCATTCCTAGTGGCGAAAAGTGAAGCAAAAGTGTGGTGTTGGTGATGGTGATCATGAAGCATCGTCCATACCGCCTCTTGTCTTTTGCGGAAGAAAAGAAATTCTTCAACTTACCCAATGAACGAGAACGATGCGTTGATGAACGCCGCGACGAAGCCGAGAAAGTGGCCGGTTGAGCCGCTGATGCCGTTGTAGTCGACCCAGGCGCCGGGGTTGTGCCAGTAGCGGAAGCCGATGGCCTCGTGGTTGGGCCCGCCGCCGGCGGTGATGATGATAGAGGTGAAGACGAGGCCGATGAAGCACAGCACCTTGATGGTGCCGCCGGCGACCTCGGTCTCGCCGTACCAGCGGACGCTGAGCAGGTTGCAGGCGAGGATGAGGACGAGGGAGACGGTGATGACGACGGCGGGGGTGATGTCGGTCCAGTAGCCGACGAGGATGGCGGCGGCGGAGGCCTCGGAGGCGATGGCGATGGTGTAGCAGTAGCCGTAGGAGATGGCGAGGGAGAAGCCGACGGAGGGGTCGATGAAGCGGGTGGCCCAGTGGGGGAAGGAGCCGGCGGTTGGGATCTGTAAGTGGTTGTGGTTAGATATTGAGAAACTGGGAAGCTCTCGCGAAGAAGAACAACAACATACCAAAGTCGCCAACTCTCCGATACTCTGCATCACGCACCACAGGACCGCGCCGACGACGATGTAGGCGAGCAGCAGGCCGGCGGGGCCGGCGTTGGCGTAGGCGGAGCCGGTTCCGATGAACAGGCCGGTGCCAATGCCGGAGCAGAAGCCGATCATGGTGACCTGGTAGTCGCGCAGGCGGCGCTGGGTGCGGCCGTGGCCGCCGACGTTGAGCTGGGGCTCGAGGATGGCGGCCTTGTCGTCATGGTGGTCGTCGGCGCCGGACTTTTCGACGTCGCGGACGGCGTCGTCTTCCGCGGCGGGCCCGATGGACTGGGCGCGCCTGTCGGACTCGTACGCGGTCATGGCTGGAAGACAAGAAGGGTTACTTCTTCAAGCTGGTCAGAGTCTCCAGGGTTGAATGCGACGTGCGAGGGAACGGCAAGACGAGATAGCCAAGGGGCTAGGATCGGAATCTGATCAAATACTACATTTGGGCCATGAAATTTTTCAAAGTCCCCCATGGCGAAACCGGAGGCTACGCGATGGCATCATCGTCCTGGTCGCGGGGCGTTCCTGGCACCGGTGGGGTCGCGGGGGGCGAGAAGTGACTTTGAGTGCGGTTTGAAGGTTTTGAGGTCTCGAGATAGCCCCTTTTCTCACCGAAGCTGGCCGCGCTGCAGTCTCGGTCTGCGTTCGGTCTGGCAGCCCTACGTGGTCTTGGCGGAGTTTGAGAGCCATCTGGCAGCCCATACGGCTTCACCAGCTCCATTCACAAACGCATCGTATGCGCTGGCAGAACATCTGGGATTGCTTCTCCCACTTCTCCGGTCTCGCAGCCAGCTGAAATTGATGGACCGGTCTGAATTACAGGTACGTAAAAATTCTTTCCAAGTGGCCGCGGCGGTGGGTCCGGGGATGGGCACTTGGGCAGACGGATGTTTAGTGTCCTTTTGACTGTGACCGCGGTGCTTTGTAGGGCGCGGTCCAGAGGTTCCAAAAGCCGTTCGCGCCCGTGGTTCACACCCCCACCTCTGGGATCAACGGAGGCGATGCATGAGTCCTTCATCTGAAAATCTTTTGAGAATTCCGTGTGCTCATCACGCTACTTTTTTTTTTTTTTTTTTTTTTTTAGTACTACCGAGTAAAGCTATGGTGGGTCTGCGGTTCATTGCCCCCCACGTGCGTTTACCAAGGACCTGGCCACGATGGCAAGACGTGCGAGTGAGGAGTCATCTCATCACTCAGTAACACTCAACTAGCCGCGGGACATCGGTTCTTTCGGGATCGTGATTTGCGTCACTTCTATCGCCGTTTGTGGAGAGTCTATGGATCTTTTTAGACAGCAGCTGCAAAGGCCGATGTCACTGACTCCTTGCACACATCTCGGCCCGCCCTTTGCCCCATGCACGGCCCCGAAGACTCCGGATCCGGATCCGAGCTCGGCCGTCAACGACTCTCACGGCATCGTCACCTCACACTTGTGCCCGCGCGGGTTGATCATGAAAAAGTTCTCCATCTCCATGGTCTCGTCGTTGGTGCCCGGCGCGAGTCTCAGCCCCTTACACCTCCTGAAGAGGACCGTCGTGGCCAGGCGCATCTCCATCCTCGCCAGTTCAATGCCCAAGCATATCCGGGACCCCGCTCCGAAAGGTGAGAAGAGGAGCTTCTGCTGCGGTGTGAGCTTCTTGTGATCTAAGAACCTCGTCTCATCGAAGCTGTTTTGTCCATCATCGTTAGCACGCACCCAGACCGAGTACAAGTGGACTCGTGATACTCACCGGTACGGGTCAGGCCAGACCTCCGGGTCCCGATGCAGCGTGTACGCCTGCGTCTCGACCGTGAAGTCATTAGGAATATAATACCCCCCGATTGTGATTCCCTTGGGCGGGACCACTCTCTGCAGCTGCCCGGGCGCCGCCCCGTACAGCCTCAGCGTCTCGTCGATGACCGCGTTCAGCAGCGGCAGCTTCTCGAGCACCGCGTCGTCGAACCCGGTGCCCACGGCGTCCACCTCCTCCTCGAGCCGCGCGCGCAGCTCCGGGCGCTTGAGGACGGCCCACACGAGGTACGTGAGCGTGACCGAGGTGGTGTCGGAGCCGCCGATGATCATGCTCTTGGCCTCGGACTCGACGACCTCCTCCGTCAGCCACTGCTTCTCGCCGGCCTCGCTCGCCTCGATCATGCGCCCGAAGAGGTTCGGCCGGTCGCCGCTGTGCTTGCGGACGTTGGCGACCGCCTTTTTGCCGTAGACCTTGAGCACGTGCTGCGCGTCCGGCGGGCCCTGCCGGGATTTGAAGGGGACGAGGCGTTTGAGGAAGTGCAGGAGGGGGAGCTCGTAGCGCATCGTGTTTTGGATGGAGATTAGCTCGAGGGCTTTCACGTAGTCGTTTTTCTTAAGGGTTGATGTTAGCAGCTGGGCAAGCCCCGTTGGGGGAATATGACGGGAAGGGGCAACGATGAAGCTTACCTCTCCGATTTCCAACATGTTGAACGACTCCCCAAACGCCAGGTGCGCAATCGTATCCGTTGTCATCATGGTCCACCACTTCAACACGTCCGACCGCCCGCCGCCCGCCGCCTCCGTCTGTATCCTGTCGACCGCGCGCTCGACCTTTCCCCGCACGACGACCTCCCAGTCCGCGCGGAGGGACTGCTTCGTGAACACACGCGCGAGCAGGCGGCGGCGCTGGGCGTGCTGGCGCGGGTCGGACATGGCGAAGATGCTGGACTCGCCGCCGTCGGGGCGGGTGGACTCCTCGTACCAGGCGGACTTGAGGAAGCCGCTTCCGATGCGGTGGATGGCGGCGAAGCCCTCGGGGGAGGCGACGGCGACCTCGGACGGGGAGATGCGCACGATGGGGCCGTAGCGGGCGTGCAGGGCGTGGATGTGGTACATGCGGCGGCCGGTCAGGATGTGGTATTTGAGCGGGTAGTGCGTGATGAGGGTGTAGCGCGGGCCGGGGATGTGGCGGATTGGCGAGTGGAAGAAGGTGTAGATTAGCTTTTAGACGATATCGTTAGAAGGATTCCTGTTGCCGAAGCTTTTTGGTCAGGGGTTTGGCGGGAGGACTTACGTAGACTGTCGTCAGGGCGATGTGGATCAAGGCGAGGACGGCGAAGAAGGCGAGGAGGGTCGTGAGGAAGCTTGCCACGGGGTTGGTGAAGTACATCTTGGGCATGTCGTCGATGCTCGACGGGAGCTTATTGGTGTTGGCGGCTGAGCAGGTAGGGAGCAGACGGACTGCTGGAGACGTCGAAAGGGGAGGTCTAATGTGATGCTGTGAGAAATACTCTGCGATGGAAATTCAAGGAAACACCCGCTGCTGGATGGTTCACCACCACAGAGCTCCCCGGCTGAAGTGGGACGCGAGCGTTTGATAAACTGCTGGTTTGCCGGACTGTCGATATCCCGGCGGCAGTGCGGAAGGGCGGCTCACGGCGAACGTGCCTTCGTTCCGTCTGATCAGTTTGGGTTTTGATATCACACCTGGACAAGACGCCGGCCGTCAGGGATGTTGAAAAGGTAAATAACGAGATGTTTCTCTCGTGCTGTGAGACCGGGGTAGATGTTTCGTTAATCTGCTAGACACCCAGCTGGACATGGGGGGAGGGGCCGGGAAGACAAGACAGGCAAGGGAGAGGACGGTTTTTGCATACGCCTTCCCAAGATGAATGGGGACGAATGAAACGATGTCGTGCGAAACTCAATGGCTACACCCGCATTAGCAAACAGCACAGCACGTTTACTTGATTGGATGATGCCCCCGCATGCATTGGAAGCGTGGGGTGCTTGGAAGATGGGACGAAAAAGGTTGCGAGAGCTCTGCCTCTCTTTCTTTGGCTTGTGAAGAGGACTTGGTTGGGTGAGGCGGCAAACAAGGGAGCTCTGGCCACCTTGGGGTGAGGCGGGCATCATGCCGGACGGACGTTTGCGGGGGGGGTGGTGCTTCCGGAACGCGGATGTTGTCCTTCTCAGGAGATGATGTCTTTGAATGAGTCAGCATTGTCTCGCAAGGAGGACCAAGACTGTTTGGGCATGGTTTGCTATTTCTCGTGGCGTTCTGTTCCGGCACGAAGGCGGGAGTTGCCGTCATGAAGAGCTCGACAGGTGTCCTGATTATCAGACGATTTGGACGGCGGACTGCTTACTGATTTGTTCCGCGAGATGCTTTTGTTCGTATTTACGAATGTCCAATGAGTGTATGTTGTGCGTTTTAGGGGATATCTACGATGTATGCTAATGGGCTTTCTAATGATATTCCCAGGGAGTGACTAAAGAATTTGCAAACCTAGCAGTCTGTTGTACTCCAGTACTCAATTGCGCTTGGAATTTTAACTTGGTGACCATTTCAGTGACCCGCTTCAAGATCCCTCTCGAGGACCTCAGGCTCCGTGTCACCGTCACTGAGAGGAGTGTACTCCGACACGCCCGTCGTGAAGTAGCTCGTCTTGCTCACACTTTGGCAGTGAGGGCAGTCGCACCGACGGCTGACGAGCATATGCCCAATCTGCGGGAGAAGAACATAAAGGTGAATAGCCCTAGTTTTCAGAAAATCCGTCAGCTTCAGACTGCAACCATACTCGGCAGGGAGAGAAAGGGGAAGAAAACTCACGTATCAAGCATCAAAGGCACGGTTCCATATGTGCCGAGAACAACCTGGCCCCTGTCCCACGGCTCCCTGATGAGCGCCCAGCTGATGAAGAGGAAGACCAAGTGGAAGATGCCGAGTGTGACATCAGCAAAGAAGATGTTTGACGGCGTGAGGGCTTGGATCGGGGAGCCGAGGGCGGCGATGAGGTCGCGGCGGATGATGAAGAGGCCGAGGATCGCGGAGGCGGCGAGGGGCAGGATGCCGAGGGCCGGGAAGGCGCAGTTGGAGATGATGCCGTGGATGAGGAGGATGATGAAGGCTGGCGGGAAGGCGAAGATTGTGATCTTGCGGAGGACGATGTTGGTTGCTTCGGAAGCCATGATCGTGGCTGGAAATTTGTATCCTATGTGTTTCGGTGGTCTGCTATGATTGTGGGTGTTGTTGTTCGATATGTGATGTCGAACCCCGACTTGAAGTTGGGTTTTATCTTGGACTTATATCGTGACAGACAAGTGCCACGACGCCTGAGGACTACACTGGACACATTGTAGTTCGCCCATGATCTGCAACAGCCGGGCGCGGTAGTCTATCATCAGCCTCATATTTGGAGGAGCTGATAGGTTGGAGGTTGAGGATGAGTCGTTCGAGACTGTGGCTGGTCGCCTTAGAGGATCCTAAATTGGGAGAATTGCAGCAGTGTAAGGCCGGTACGTAGCCATGAAGGAACGGTAAGACGTATGGTCTCAGAAGTCTAGATGTTAGTACTTACACCGTGACATACCCAGACAAGGTAACATGGACTACTTTGGGGCTGTGTACCGAACTAAATGACGACCGCGCCCCTGCATGCATGCCGCAGTAGGCTTCGGAATCCTTCGCAGGCAGCCGGGGCGGCCATCGGCCCCGCCCACGGGCAACGAGCCAATTGCTGATCGGGACGGGGCCGGGGGTCGGATGGGTACGTGCACTGTTTTTCGGCGGCTAGGCAGATTTCTTGGTGTTGTTTGTCGTTGGTGCTGTTGGTCCTTGCGGCTTGCTGGCGCTGTGCCGCTTCCTTGGTAAGAGCACGTTTGGATCTGGTTGGATGGTGAATGGGACAATGGATCCTTAATCAAGTGTCAGATTCCCGAAAAGGAGACCCAACAGGGCCAACAGAGGGGCCAAGTCAGGCTGTGGAAGCAGGGATGATGGGTGATAAAAAACCCCAACCTATGTTGAAGTGCCCTCGTTGGATTCCTTCGCTCCTAGACATACGCCTTCTCTGGCATAGCTGGTGCCTTGAGCAGGTGTGCAAATCTTGCTTTTCTAACGGTCTCCGGGGATGAGGCTATGTTCCTAGGAGTGAGACAATGTCTTACCTGACAGGGCTGTTGTTCAGTCTGATAATTGCCTCTTTTGCAATCGCCGAAGATGTATTCCGCCGACCGCCCGGCCCGGGGCCTACGAACGACTACAGCGACAATCCGATTTACACTCTTGGTGAAAAAGTGAGATTCGTGTGGGAGTCAGATCCCCTGAACGACATCTGGATTTGGAACAATAAGGCGGACAGTACCACCGGAGATCGGTCTTCGGCCCGGATTCTACGTATGTTCCCGACAACATGGGGACCTTGCGAATGCATCGCTAACGGCTGTCTTTTCCCAAATTTGTAGAGAATTATAGTTCTCTGGACTACACATGGGAGGTCAGCTATGATGGCTTCCCCGACGACGCCGATCTATCTCTGCCTGTCTTTTACCTGGCACTGTACAGTTCCGGGTCGGGGGCGATAACTGCTACGTCGCATTATTTCAACATCACAGAAGCCTCGACAACCACAGCAGCGGCTTCGAGCCCCACGTCTTCGAGCCAGAGCCAGGCTTCGGCTCCCTCAAGCTCTCCTGCCGCGACCGAGACATCTTCACAGTCACTTGGCACGGGGGCCGTCGCTGGGATAGCCGTTGGCGCAACGCTGGGAACCATCCTCGTTGTGTCCATGATCAGTTGGTTCGTATGGAGGGCACTGAGGAAGAGGAAACTTGGACAACCCGACAAAGGAGGCGAGACCTTTGACAGCCCTGCTTATTCCCAATACCAATACACGGGGTTGAAGACGGATACCATGTCAGCGGGACCAATCGAGGCTGACAATACTTCTCAGAGACCTCCCGAGATGGACGGAGGCCATCATGTTCACGAGCTTTACGCTGGACGGCACTGAGAGAAAGGAGTAGATAATGCAAAAGATACCAGATCACAGCAATTCTAGAGATAATAGGATACAGCTTCCAAGACTAATACACATGGGTACGTACCTGCTTTTGTATTGATCCCACAGATACCTATGAAATCAACTTGGTAGCCGTCTGTTCTTTCCTATTTCTTCCCGTAGTCTCATTGCTACACGTTGGTGGAAACTATGTAAACAACTACACAAGCCCTAAATAGGCTAGTAGAGGCGTAGAAAGACATACAAGCTACCTTTCATAGAGAACAGGAAATAACGTAATAGAGTGCGGGATTCGAGCTGATATGGGTTCAACTATTTATACATCGTGACATAATTGGGGTAAAACGCCAGACAAAACCAGAAGCGCAACGACCGCAATCAGATAAATCCCATAGCACCGTAACGAAACGAAAACAAAATACCTGATAAAAATAGATAAACACCGAATCTAGTAGTGATATCCATAGCTTGGTCTGTTGGGACGTACTTCTCCCCAACTGAAATCCATATTCAGGGGCATCCTTGAGTGCTCAGCCTCGTCGTCGACCGCGTCCAAATTACGGCCCAGCCATGCGCAGTCCCAGAATGTAATCAAAGCCCAAAACTTGATGAATGAGTGAACGTACCCGAAGAGGATCTGGTAAGGCAGGAGCAGCAGATCTGAAGGATACCGCAGAAAATGGGGTACGATTTTCCATACCTTGGTAAAGAGCATAAAGCAGAGGAGCTTCCGCATTTCGGTGGTTAGAAACTCGTCAGCGCCCAATGCGCTGTAGTAGGTAAACATCAGCAAGCCATCCCACAACAGCGCGAAGTTAATAAGGCCAGTCAGGTAGACAGTGAAGAATGACCACGGCATGCGCTTGATGAGAACCCTGTTGCTTTCCAGCATCATGCACGGGTTGCTCCGGAACGTGGTCCTGGCCCAGCGGATGAGTTGACCACGGAATTTGCTGAGCGACTCGTCGCCGATCGTGGTCCAGATGGTGCATTCGTCCGTCTGCTGGAACTTAATGTCCCAGTCGTGCTTGTAAGCTTCGCGGGTGAGGAAGTTGTCGTCATCCGGCCCGAGGCCTTCCTTACCGCCGAAAAGACCAAAGAAGAATTTCTCGTTACAGAACCGATGCATCAAGCCGTCGGCTTTAAGAAACCTGCTGCGGTAGATGGCGGTGCGGCCAGAGACCACAAAGACTCCGCCGTCCATGCCGTTGGAGGCCCTGAGCTCGTAGTTGTGGCGCTCGAGGTAGAGACAGCCGATGAAGTTAATGATTGAAGACATGCTCCAGAACTTACCAGGACTTGTACGCCGGACGCACTTGTAGGTGGCCACCACACCCATGGTTGGGCTCTCAAAGGGCGCGAGAGAGTGGGGGATGAAATCCTTACTGGGCCAGAAGACGTGGTCGTCGGCGAGGATTGTGAATTCTGTTTCGACTTTGGGTACGGCATGAGCGACTTGCCGGCGCTTAGAGGGGTGCGGGATCGCGCTGACGCCGATTTGCGTCATTGGGTACGCTTGACGGAAGTGTTCGAGGAAGTCGTCACACCGCTGGCGCATGGCGGCTCCGACGGTAACGACAAGGATTGCGGCCGGCCTGTTCTCCAGAATTGAGAGCATGCACTCGGCGAACTTGGGGTTGTCGGGATCGATGGTGGGGAGGATGACCGTGACATCCCTGGATGTCCAGAGCTCTCGCGACTGCATGGGCGAGGGTCTGTAAAAGTGATATCCGCAGAAGCCGATCGCGAAACGGTAGTACCGTGCGATGAAAATCCAGAAAAATGCGGCAATCCAAATATCGCGGTCAACATTCTCGAGTAATTCGCTGTAGTAGATTATCGTATCCCAGAAGTACCATACGTTACACGTAACGCAGATTAGAAACAGAATGAAGTGAGGGTTGTTTCGGATGAAGTCAATAGATACCATAGGGATGTTCGCGATGGAGGAGAGGATGGCTCTGAGAAAGCTTCGGGGCTGTTCTTCAATATCTTCCATCCGAATGTTGTCATCCTCCACCTCTAGTTTGATATTGTATCCTGGCATGTTGTGAGCTTCGGTTTGCCTGATGATAAGACGTAAATCGTATCGAAGTTCTGAGACGAAAGATTGCTGAATGTTGCTGAATGTTGTGTGATATTGTTTGTTGCTACTGTGGGTTTTCTGTACTGGCACGATTTGCTGGACTTGTCTCGAGTCAATACCATAAGACTACTCTTATAGTGACTGCGAAGCACAATGAGGATATTGCCTTCTCTGTCTTGCATGAACAACTGGCTTCATTATCGACTAAGGCAGACGAAGAAGGCATTGTTCGAATCCCTGCGCCTCATCCACACAAGAGACACTGTGACGGCGATTCGAAAGGGGACCACAGAGACATCAAAGGACTTGAGCCCTTTGTACTCGACATCACAATGTTATTGAGCAAGTTTGAACCAACAAAGCAGTTGTTTTGGCTGGACGAAGAACATTGCCTTTATTTACTGTTCAGACTAAATGAGAGAATTTCAGTTTTCGCATCCACATGCTTTCTTTCTTAGTCACAATGCAAAAGTTGTACAGTCTCAATACAATAACCAAATGCTAGCTCCATCGTTTGCGTTCTTGAACGGCTTGAATCTATCGTTGATCAATGGTAAAGTCTTGACTTAAGCGTAGGTAATGAAAGCTTCCGCGGGCATTTTCATCTCGATTTCTTACATTGACATGATGCACCTCACAAAAGGACGGATGGAAGAAACGTTTTTGCGTATAGTTCAATTCCAATTGGCCAAGAAGCTAACTATATAGAGATCTACCTAATAGCATGTACTGCCATTGAGACCGTGCATTGCCAGTATGCGGCACTCAATGCCTTGTGTGATGACTGTGCCCAGTCATCGGGCGCGTCATGGGACGAGCATCTTCAACCTGCTCACTGGAACCAAAATACTTGTCAAGCTCGCCTTCAAGCTCGTTACCCTCAATGTGTCGCATTTCCTTCGCACGCTTGACAGGGTTGGCGCCATCAGCGTGCGCGCTGGCAAAGATAACATCCAACTCCTCCAAACTCCGGCCTTTGGGCTCAGGGAAAAATAGCCAGACGCACGGAATGATGGCCGCGTTGAAGACGGCAAACATGACATATGTCTTGTATCCCAAGTTGGCAAAGGCTGGAGGGGTAATCATGACGATGAGGAAGTTGGAAAGCCAGTTGGAGCAGGTCGACAGGGCGTTGGCTTGGATGCGAATGCGAAGGTTGGTGATTTCGGCAGGGTACAGCCAGGTCATGCCGAGCCAGCCTTCAAATATGTGAGCGAAGGAGATTGTGTATGTTTGCATGGATTACTTACCAATTGCGAAGAAAGAGTTGAAGACAAAGAGGAAGACGGTGGCCGTTACACCGTAGCGGGTCTCGAGGTTAGGAGCCCCGTTGTCTGCGACAGTACCTGTAGAGACGGTACCCGCCAGGATAGCCATGGATGCCATCATGCCAAAGGCACCGAAGAGCATGAGCTTCCGTCGACCAGTCCTCTCGATGAGGGGCAATGCAACGAGCGACGCCAGGAAATACTCAGTGCCGTTTGCAGCTGCGAGAAGCCGCGACAGTTCGGGGCCAAACCCAAGAGAATTCTCAAAAAGGAAGCCAGCGTAGTAAGTGATGAGGTTGATACCGCAAATCTGTTGGAAGAATTGCGCGGCGATTCCGAGTAGCGTTCGACGAAGGTTTTGAGACGGTCCGTTAGTGAGGAGCTCCTTGTACTGGAAGCCACCGCCCTGACTTTGGACTTCAAGTGCCTCCTTGATTGCCTTGACTTCCGTGGTGACATCCTCATGATCAATAGGCTTGCCGAGAAGACGCGCCGTGACCGCACGGGCTTCTTCGGTGCGGCCCTTCATCGCGAGCCATCGGGGTGAATCGGGGAGATAGAGAAGACCAATCATCACGATGATAGTGAAGAATGACTGGAAAGCGATCGGAAATCGCCAGCGAATCGATCCCTCAAGGAAGTAAAAGCCATAGTCAACCTAGATAATTACGAGATTAGAATCAGAAAGGTTGCAAGGGAATAGAGAGATTACTCACCCAGTAAGCAATCATAATGCCTCCAGAGATGAGAGCTCCGGAAAGGGTGATGAGAAATCCACGCTGATGAGGTCGTGCGCACTCGGATTGCCATGTGGGAATTGCTGCAGGCCTGTTAGCTATGCTAGTGACGACCCAGTCAAGATAGGAAGCTTACTTGAGGTTACCATGCCATTTCCAATTCCGCCAAGGACTCTGGAAAGAGAGAAAAGAATGCTTGCATCATGTCAGTATCGTGTCTGCGATGGAGATGAGGGGCACAACGTACTACTCGTGAGAGCCGGCTTGCATGACGGTACTGATGACCATGATGGCGCTGCCCCAGAAAGTAGAAGACTTGCGACCCCACGTCTCTCCTTTGAAGAGAATGAGAAGCGCGCCCAGGAAACATCCGATCTGATAGACAGCCACGGCAGCAGCCTGTGTGTTGGGGTCTCCAGTGCATTGGCTGTAATCACGCTGCGTGCTTTCGGGATAATCAAGCCAGCACAGGGGATTCGACTTTTCCAGTGGAGTCATCAACACGATACTCTTCTGAAAATCATCCAGGGTGAGGAGGGAGCTCAATACGCCCTGGTCATAGCCGAACATCAGAAACCCGCAACTCGCTATGAAGCCAATGCACCAGTTCAGAGTCTGGCCCTCGAGAAGCTTGCCGCGAAACTTTAACTCGGGAAGATCGCCAAGCCTGGAAAAAAAGCCTCCCTGAGACCTGGGCTTCTCGTTCACCACGCGACCGCTGTCGGCGGACGAAGACGGGCTTGGGCTCCCGCTCTCGCCTGAGCGTTGTTGTTTCTCTTGCTTCTCGGCCATGATCATGCACGTCCGCGATGGTGTGGGAAAGAGGAAAAGAAGGATGATCCCACCAAGACTGGGCAGGTCTTGGAGAAAACGTGGCTTGGGGACGATGCGCGTCTTGTACTCGCTCACTTCTCACCTAGAATGTTGCTTTGCACCAGCATCGTGGGGCTCAATGAGACAGTCCCCGATGAAGGATGACTTGGCTGAGGTCATTTGGGACGTGTGTGGGCGAGCAGGCGCAAACAGAATGGAACATGCTGCTCGAGGTCTACCAACAATATCCACAAATAGCTCCAGAATCGCGTCTTGGTGTTCTTGGGCGTTGGCGGTGTTGGTCCGAATTTCTAGTCAGCTGCGGAGAAAAGCCCGAAGTACGGCCTTCCGGTTGACTTCAAAGCTCGAGTAGCCACATGGGCGCGAAAAGTTTCCGGCTCTTGCCCACTCAGCAGCGACGATCAAAGGAACCCTGCATTTCTTGGGCTCCCAGGATAAATGGCCAAGCCAAAGAGATAATGCCTTAGGAACTCCTCCAAACAAGAAGTTGGCCGAACGACGAGCCTCAAAAACTGCTTGCAGGTCACCAGTTGGTGGTGAGATTTTGGCTTGATGTGGATATCATAACCAACGCCGAGTCCGAATAGACGACGGTGTAGCGGCATTCTCCCGTACGGATTGCCAAAGAGGGTAACCCGAGGCTGGGCGAACCAAGACATTGAAAGAAATGATTGAGTGCAGTCAGCTGAAATGTCAAGACCTTTTATTCTCGGCGACATGGATGAATGACGTTGGCCAAGTTTAAGCTTATTTCTCTAGTTGGCTAGCGGTGGGGGTTTGATATCCACGATATCTTATCCCTCCACTTCCAAGTCAAACATATGCGGACCTCCCGCTTGGCAGTCTTGGTTTTAGAGCCTGTTTGGCTCAATTCCTTTCTCCCGCTCCGAACAAGAATTCCAGAGACGCGCAATTGGCGTGTATTTGAAAAAGGAAAAAAAAAGTCGAATCGTACAACGCCGTTTGGAGGTCGTTGGATAGCTTGATACTAGAAGAACGTCTTGGCGAGGTTTGATTGCGCAATCACGCCGTTGCTCTGTACTAGGGCTGTAATTTCGCAGATATCCTCATCTGTGGTCATGAACGGTACCAGATCTCAGGTCTTTTGATGTTCCAAGGTTTCTTCCCATGGCCTGAATTCATCGGGAGGTGGTAGAAAATTATCGTAGCTGGGAACTTGGCTGGGGTATGGGGAAGCGAGGCTGCCAACACGTCTTGCCCAGGAGAAACCCCCACCATCTCCAGTTCGTCCAGAAAGTGGGAAACATCAGATCTGCAGGATCAGCCTTGGATCCCCTTCACTCACCCAGGGGGTTTATGGTACTGCCTGCAGTATGCCTCTCGTTCCTGACGAATGGTCCCGTGTCTTAATGAGCCCGAACTTTTCTTCCATCGGTCCATGCATACTGTAGGGCTTGCTCCAATGAAATGCACGGCTCCCAAGAACGATTGCCAAGTATGATTTGCTATTGGTTGGTTGGTTGGTTGAACAGACATATCCGTCGTCCTGCAGCCAATGTTACCTTTTTATCCCCACGCTCACTAAGATTTGCCAGTGGAATTCTCAAGTTCCCCGCGGTTGATAAACCTTGGCCCAAGGTCTCATCGTAAACAATACCAAACTTTGCCTAAGCTGTGCAGCAGCAGATGAACTACAAGAGGAGCCTTATACTCAACCCCATCGATCTCACTGGTGCACCGGAAGAGTTCGAATGATGAAGGCTTGTTCTTTGGTAGCCGACAGGACGCACAATAACCGCGCGCAGACAGAGGCGTGTAACTACTACCTGACTATGGCGGGGGACTTCGGCGAATTCAGGGTGGTCTTACAGAAACATTTAGGCACGTAATAAGTCATGCCATGTACCCTGTCAGAAGAGACTAATAGATATCGTGCCTAGCAGAACTCTATCCCATAGTTCAATCACACTAGCAAACCTTTCTCAACGGACTTCGGCGAATTAGAAAGCCGTGCCTTCGGATGAACTCTGTAGTCAACAAATATTCAACGCGCAATATAATTATTTATACCTACTAGTTGCGGCCTCTCTGGAGTCTGATATATCGTCTATCCTGGGGAGAAAACAATCTCCCTGCTGAGGTGTCGTCCATAGGCCATCAATACTGACCGAGTCAACATGCCCTCGCAAGTTTCGTTAACAATCATTATCGTTGGAGCCGGGCCAGCCGGGAATACGGCGGCGGCCGCTCTGGCTTCTGACGGGCATCAAGTAACTGTCCTCGAACGCAACTCGCAACTCCAAACTCGTGGAGGGAACCTCATCGTCCAGCCCTCCGCCGTGGAATGCCTCAACCTGATCGGTGTTTCAGAATCTCTGGACAAGGTAGCTGTGGAAACAGTCAGTGAATTTCTATGGAGATGGAAAGACGATGCGCCATTCACGGAAACAAAGGCAATTCCCGATGGGACGATCCGCAAGCCTACCGACAGGCCATCACTGCAGCGAATCACCTACGAAGCTGCCATCAACGCTGGAGCCAAATACCTGTTTAAGAAACCTGTCTTTAAAATCATCGAGGAGCAGAACGACAAAATTCTAGTGATGGCGGAGGATGGCACCGAGTACTTGGCTGATATGGTGATTGGTGCCGACGGTATTAAGTCACGCGTCCGGGAGCTCATGTTTCCTGGACATGACATGAGTCCTATCATGACACCCGAGCGTATCTTCCAGACAGAGGTTGATATCGGCAGGGTACAGAAAGACCCAGTGGCCGCTCCGCTGGGCGTTCGCTCGCACCATCTCATGTTCGGCCCCGGACTTTACTGCGTCGGTCGGCCGACAGCTCATGGCACCGTTCGCATCCTTCTATGCAATCTGAATTATGGACTCCCATCCGAAGATGCGGATTTGGGTGGAACTTGGAATTCGGACGGCAACCCCGAAGAGATCCGTGAAATGTTCAAAGGGTTCGGTGCGCCGCTGCGTGCCTATATCGAGTGTGTGATACGTGGGGGCTACCCTATTGACAAGTGGCACATTGCCACAGCACCAAAGATGAAAACTTGGCTGGGATTTGGGGGAAGCTGCATTCTTCTGGGGGATGCTGCGCATGCCATGTTGCCGCATACTGCTCAGGGAGTGAGCCAAGGCATCGAGGATGGCTTGGCCCTGAGTACAGCCCTCCGCTGGCTCGACAAACGGGAAAATCTGTCTGCCATTTTGGGAAAATGGGAGACCCTCAGAAAGCCACGCGCTGAGAAGATGTTTGATGTCGGCCACCAGAACATAGCCATGTTCACCCTTCCAGATGGTCCGGAGCAAGAAGCTAGAGATCAAAAACTCTTAGCGACGGGTTTCACTGGCCAGCCAACGGACTGGGAAAGCATTCAAATGGATGAGAATGCCCCAAGAATGACACCTCAGTATACGAAATGGGCCATGTGCTACGACGTGGTTGCAGAGGTAAGTAACATTACACATCATTCAACTTCTCATTCAATGCACGTGCTGATGGGGAGTACCGACCAGACCAATAAGATATTTACCTAGCACCGCGTATTCTGAGAGACGACCTTTCCGGGGAACCTGTGGAGCGATCGGGTTGCTGTGCTAAAGGAGTACTGTATCAGGGGAGGAAGCATTTCCTCAGCAGCACGGAAGGGTGTGCGATTGATGTACTAGCGCTGTAGCGCCACTGATTTTCACTTTGGACCAAATTATCTCTGATTCCTTTTCTGATCGATAAATGGATTCGAAGCTGTAGATCCCCTAGATTGGGATATCGGGAATGCGGCATAATGGAGGGTTCGCCGAAAGCTTGGCCATCACCAATCGGGATGAGTCCCCTGATATCCCGAATGCTAGGAGAGTCTGTTAAATTGGAGAGTGTCATCCATGATACTAACATAACAGCATGTCTAGGATGCCTGCGCCATTATCCTTGCTCTAATACGGAAGCAATCAACCAGACAACGGCTTGACAAAAATATTGCCGGTACCAGACTTCATCGCTCACATCTCGGGGCCAAAGAACCATCGCAGAGTCACCAGAAGGGCTCATTCGCGAACGAAGATACGTAAATAACAGTAAGTCTCGAGCTTCAAGCTGGCCCACGATCAGTTTATAGCTTGTACCTACCCCAGTCAAGTCGGCTTCTTGAACCCGGAAAGACTACATACAGGCTAGTCGGCTCTGAAATCGGGGGCATTTCCAAATAAAGCCATTTTTCATCCATAATACCTCCAATCGGATTTCTCATCTTGACAAATTCTACGAATTACAACCATGTGTTTCTCTCTCAAGCAGATATTCGGCGATAACTCGCGAGTTCCTGGTGCTCTTCTGTTCCTTCCACCCGAGCCGCATCCCGAAGAAGCTGTCCAGGGTGAACTAAAACATAAACGGCTGCGGCAAATACCATCTGCACGCCGTCCAGAACGTAGACTTAGGCTTCGTGCGAAATGATGAACCCTCCATCGCCTTGAAGATACTCGATACCTCTAACAAGACTGCGCAGCAACATCGCTCCAGCAACCCAGTATGTAACGTGAGAATATCTTGGAGCAGAGTCAACTATCAACCCGGCCTTGTAGTCCTGCGACCTGCTCCTCTTTGCCAATTGGTCAGAAACCAGGGTCATATTCAGAAAGAGACAAAAGGCTGCAAGCTGTGTAATTAAGCCTGATATAATCAACGTTTTCCCAAGTGCGATGCCTTCAGGGTCGCCTGAAGCAGGCTCGGCCGAGCCAAAGACCTGAGTTACGAAACAACCCAGCTCAACAGTGACAAAGACGAACGTCATCAGTCGTGGTGGAATAACTATACGATCTCTCAAATGGAAAACTCTGATGCACTCTGTTCCACAGCTTGAGTTTTGGGACCGTAATCATAGAAGCTTGATGTAATTTCAACTACCACGGCGCCTTCATTTGACAAGTTCCTCAAATCGGTTTAAACGAATGTCAATTTGCTGTTCTTGAAAGGGATCAATGCCAGAATCATAGCATGGGTGTAGTACTTTGTTCGGTCAATCAGATCATCAGTCAACAGGCCAACTGAACCTCTCGTCTGCTTCGAGTTGACGTGACCAAACACTGCATCATCGGCATGTCCCAGTTCCATTCCCTGACGCAGATAGTTGGCTGATTCTTCCGGCAGATAATAGGCTGCACTGCGTGCCTTGCCCATCTTTCCTTCGCGATTCGCAACCACGATCCATGCAAAGTTTAGATACGCGCCGTTTGCATCCTCCGGGACTTCGACGCCTCCTTCAATTCCGACCCAATAGTCTGCATCCTTCTCAACCTCCTGAGCGTTCCGCACCCGAGTCAAAGCTCCCAGGAGCGTCTCTTTGTCGGAGAGCGGTTGGTCTGGGACACCGGAGGGGACGCTGACTCCCTTGAACTCAAATTCGCCAGCTAGAGCTAACTCAAAGCCTTGCTTTGCGGCATTGATTTTGACGGGATTCTTCGACGAGACGGCAACGACTGACCGCTTTTCGGAAGACATGATGACTGTTTAGAGGAACTCGTGAGCTTTGGTTCTTGTGGCGTTCTCTGCCTCAGATACTCAGACTTACAATTTCTGGAAATTTAAAAGCTTAATGCTATGATGTTCTTCTAGTAGCGTGTAGTGAATTCACTTTGCAATCTTTGACGAGCCGAAGTCGACGTTTTTGTTAGACAGGCTCGTTGCGTGAGTCACTCGGCGAACGAAAATGTGGGTGGAGTTGTCCTAGCAACTAGCGCTTCAGTTGACAGCTAGGTATTTTGCAGTAGCACGAAGGTCAGTTGCTTCACTCAAGGGTTTAAGTCAAGCAGAACGACTAGCAATTGAGTCTAGAAACGATCATCTCACGATCATCAGCATTGGTAGTGGATCGATCAGTGGTCCGTCGTACCAACTAGATCTCAGATTCCATTCGCTGGCCCCAAGTGGGCATTGATACACTGTTTCGAACCATTCCAATTAGCGGGCTTTTGCATGAAATCGATTAAAAATTTCAAGTCTACCAGGATTAATGATTGCGCCTCCTGCTTGTTGCGCTACGAATAATGTCTACACCCACGGATTGCTGATAACGCCTCTTCTTATCAGTGATGATAGGGTAGGGCGTCCTTGACAGTTTGACATCAGCGTGCATGATAACGATGAGGGGTATGAAGTTGGGTTAGCCAACCGTTGGTTTCCGTTTTCAACCGCCTGGCGTCGATGGCACATGATAAGATTCACTGACTAAGGCAGCGCCTCAAAAGCCCAGCGCTATCTAAATCCCCTCTTTCGCAAACAGTATCACCTTGAGTATAAATCAGTTTGATTTTGATTGGAAATTTGTCTCTCTGATTGAACAGGTGCGACGTAAAAATGTCTGAGATCAAGAAGTACACCCTTGGAGATTTCCAGCTTCAGAGTGGCGAGGTTCTACCTAGTGCCTGGATCGCTTACAAGACTTTTGGCGACCCTTCTCTCCCAGCTGTTGTGTATCCAACTTGGTATTCGGGAGCGGTTGCGGACAACGAATGGCTGGTCGGCGACGACAAAACCCTGAACCCGAAGGACTACTTCATCATCATTCCGGCGCTGTTCGGTAACGGCCAATCCATCAGTCCCTCCAACTCCGACGTCAGCCCATTCCCCGACATCACCTTTTACGATAACGTCCGAGCCCAGTATGAGCTTGTCACGAAAGAACTGAAGATCAAGCACATCAGAGCGGTATTGGGATGGTCCATGGGCGCGGCACAATCTTTCCAATGGGCGACGCAGTATCCCGACTTCACGGACATCTGTGTTCCCTTTTGCGGTGCCGCCAAGACCGCGCTGCATAACCAGGTCTTTTTGGAAGGAGTCAAAACAGCGCTGTTGGCTGCCAAAAGAGCTAGCTCCGCAGGGAGTGCTAAGGGACGCGTCGAGACCGCTGAGCAAAAGAAGAGCCTTCGCATCTGGTCTGATGAGGAGAAGGAGGTTGGCTTGAAGGCCTTTGGCCGTGGCTACGCGGGCTGGGGATTCTCTCAAGCGTTCTATCGACATGAGCTGTACAAGGAGCATTACAAGGCAAAGGATCTCGAAGAGTTTCTAGTCACCTTCTGGGAGAAGTGGGCTTTGAGCAAGGATCCAGAGAATTTGCTTGTCATGCTTCAGACTTGGCAGAGCGGCGACGTGAGTAAGCAAGAGCCGTACAACGGCGACTTCAAGAAGGCGATGGCCGCAATCAAAGCGAAGACATTGGTGCTGCCTTCCAAGACCGATCTCTACTTTCCGTAAGTACCCGCTTAGCCTAGTCATCATGCCGAAAAGCTAATTTTATGCAGACCGGAAGATTCTGAATACGAAGTTGCTTGCATGAGCGATGGTGTAGGAGAACTGGATGTCTACCCGTCCATTTGGGGACATTGGGCCGGAGGGCCCCCAGGGAACTTCGACGATGTAAAGTGGCTGGACGATCGACTGAAGAAGGTTTTCGCGACAGCGCCGAAGAGAGGTTGAAAGTCAGACAGGAAGTCGTTGTATCGAAACATGAAGATTGAGCCTTAAGCCACCAGCTTTTCACTCCCACCCTAATATTGTCTCATACACCTGAGTCGAGATCCGCATGTACTTAAGACATGTTAACCATGAATACGCGGTTATTGTCATCTATGCAACAACCCCCCCAAGACCAGTAGGAACTTCGCTCAGATGGCGACACGAGCCAAGTCCCGATACATATGGAGCACGCATCAAGCAAGTACGAGCACACAGCTGCACGGCAGCTACGGTTACAAATTCTGAAATCCCGTGCCAATCGAAACAGAAAGATGTTAAACTCAGTACACTTGACAGTTTCATCCTTAGACATCAACTATTTTGTGAATATTTCTTGACAGCAGTCATCTTGAAGCAGACTGTGCTTGCAATCTCAGTGATGTGTACCATTGGGCTTGCTGCCCTGGTGAGTCTATCAAATCACACGTGTCAAGTTATTCTCATGTGGAGTCTAGAGACTTATCTATGATTGCACAGCCTGACGGGCTCGCAACGAGAGGCGAACCGCACTAGACGGCGCCGAGTGTCCTCCATGGAAGAGAGCAGATGCCCATGGCTTCTCTTTCAAACAGTGTGAGAGAGATCATGGTGCTCCCGATTGTGTACAGTTCACCGGCTGTAAGAGACAGAGGCAATAAGGTCTCATTGCCCATATTTGGGCCGAGAGACATGAACTGGCAGTCTTGTGTACATTGGATAAATTGTTGACATGATGGACATTCCATAATTATCAGAAGAATTTGACCACACTTGAAAAACTCCTTGTCCCCTTCGTCTGAACAGTGATACTTTTCTAATTCAATTCTCTTAAATATCTATGACTCGTTAGACATGGTTGTGATGATTTTGATGAGGATATGAATCAATGCATCATGTTATTGTGTTCTACTACTTATTCCTCGGAATCTAGGAGCTGTATGAGCGGGGTTGTCATCCATGGCGGCTGTGAGGCTCACTGGCAGTAAAGTGCTGACAAGTATGTACGCTCAAGATCGTCGAAAAAAACATCATCGTCCCGGAAATGTGTTTTCCCCACTCCACCGAAAAGTCAATTCCAGAATGCCTTAGACGCAGCTAAAAGATGGATAGACTCCAACGATGGTACGATGTCCTGATGATTAATCCACGGCACGTCATCTTGACTCGTATCGTTCTCGGATGCGATGTAGCTGCGCAAAGGCGGGGTTCGACCGTGGAAAGCGCGGTGATTAACCCCGACGGCGATAAAAAGAGCTACAAATCGCACAAACATACCTCGGCACCTTTGCCTTTCTTCTTTGTGCACCATTACGTCAATGCAGCATATCAGGAGGAATCTGAGTTGAAATACCTTTCACATATTTGTCTCTGACATCTGCCAGATTGTTTATCCTTTTCACCCGAAGTCCCTCTCAACCCAGTCACCATGACCCAGAACAAGACCCTCATTTTCAAGAAAATCCCCACGGCGCTGCCAGTGGCAGGGGAGCATCTTGTAGTGGAGGACCGCCCCATCGACCTCAACGATGCCCCCGAGGGCGGTCTCGTAGTCGAGATTCTCTACGCGAGTTTCGATCCGTATCTTCGCGGCAAGATGCGTGATCCCAGCAAGAAGTCCTACTCGCCTCCGTTCGACGTCGAGGGGCCCATCACGAACGCGACCATCAGCAAGGTTCTCAAGAGCAACACCCCCGACTTCCCAGAGGGCAGTTTGATTGTCGTCCACACGCCCATCGCCGAGTTCGCCCGCGTGACCCCCACCGCCCTGCAACAGGCCCGCCAGGTCCACAACCCGCACAATCTCGACCTCGCGCTGTTCCTCGGGCCGCTGGGCATGCCGGGACTCACCGCCTGGTCCAGTCTGCACAAGATCGGGCAGCCGAAGAAGGGCGAGACAATCTTTGTCAGCTCCGCTGCTGGCGCCGTGGGACAGGTCGTTGGCCAGATTGCCAAGCGCGAGGGACTCACGGTGATTGGTTCCGTTGGGTCTGATGAAAAGCTTGAGTTCATTACCAAGGAGCTTGGCTTCGACGCCGGTTTCAACTACAAGACTGACAAGCCCAAGGATGCGCTGCCCAAATTGGCACCGGAGGGGATTGATATCTATTTCGAAAACGTGGGCGGCGATCACCTCGAGGCGGCTCTTACGAGCATGAAGGTTGGCGGCAGAATTCCTGTCTGCGGAATGGTAAGTTGAACCAGGGTGCCCGGTAGAGATGAAAGAGACCTAACAACGTGCGGATCGGCAACTACAACGTGTCGCCTGAGCAACAAGAGGGCATCAAGGGTCTGATGCAGCTCGTCTCCAAGCAGATCACCATGGAAGGTTTCCTCGTTGGTAACCCCAAGTTTGGCCCCGCTCACTTCAAGGAGCATCAAGAGAATATGCAGAAGTGGCTGGCCGACGGAAGTATCAAGTCCAAGCTGTCCATCACTGATGGTATTGACCATGCAGCTGATGGCTTCATCGGCATGCTTGTTGGCAAGAACTTTGGCAAGGCTGTGCTTAAGATCAAATAAGATGTCTCAATAGCTGAAGGCAAACGACGCAAAAAGATAAACAGCTGATAGTTGGCTGCATTTAGTTTCATCATGATGCATCTCATACAGATGATGGTCACTCAAGTTGCCCTTGCATTTGATTGTTGACTCTCCAGCCAATTAAAAAACATCCCTAGTATTACAATCTGAAAAAGACCACTTAAATACAGCCTGCCGAACCAATCTTCTGTGTCTAAGATGGAGGTCAGGTGATATGCAAATCACGGCCGTAGCGGCTATCGTCGGGCATCGACAGCAACAGGCTAGAGCCCAGGAAAGAAGTACGCGCCCGTCCAACTTTTTCGGCGGAATAAGATGAACTAACTGGATGATTTTCGTCGCGATTGTTCAATTGCGGCACGCGATGCGAAACCGTCGACGTCAAGTTGATCTCCAGACATCCACATTATAAGCAGTTCTTCAGTGATACGTGGTGATCTGAAATCTGGAGATTCTGGAGATTCTGGGGGATTTCTCTGGGGATGTTTCCACTAAAAGCCGTCCCACGTCAGACGCGTCCCACCTTTTGAACCAAACTCAGGCTGGCATCGCGCCGGCCCAAAGTCCTCAGTCTGTACTGGAACGCAGAGCCTCCAGTGCATCATTTAAGCTTAATCTAGAAATTGCCGGTGCTAGGAGTCAGCAATGCGTAGGGCGCAGGTTAATATGCGATGACTTTTTGCGATGGAGATCGTGGTATGGTTCTTCAATAGGTCAATGGGCGTGGCTCCGTGAATCTGGTAACGCGGTGTTCGTGGGCCAACAGTGAGTGCAACATTGATTGAAACACCATCGCCCGGGATGCCCTCCGCGTTCGTATAGCGCGCCAATCATAACCAAATCAAGATAAAGGTCTCCAAGACCGCCATTTCCTTGGAACCTCACAGTCTCGGGCAAATATGCGGGTGGGCGGACTCTGTCCGGTAGAAGGAATATGACAAAAAGTGCCTCGTTCCAAGGTAATACGCCATTGAGTGTCATTCATTGCTACGCTGGGAATAGCGGATGACAACCGTCGCACACACGGCCCACTATTGTGAACCTATGGCGCAGGTTTGTGTCTCCGTCACGCTCCGATGACTTGGGGAGGCATGCCGCATGTTTAGCCGATGACGGCCACGGCACCCAATCAGCTATGACGACTGTTGGAAACACGGCTCGACCATCCTCGACGGGACTCCTAACTTGGAGGACGCAAGGCCAAGCCACGGTCAGCGACACTAGCCTTGTCGGTTCCCACTCTTTCATCTCCAACGTCCCAATGAAAACATGCAAACTCCTGCGAACGCGCGCTCCCAACTGCCTCGAGAGGTCGAGTTCGCTGACAAAATTGGGTCCAGCTGGGCCCCGATGTCCCCGACGCGCCCAAATATCAGACGAGGGGGAATGAGACGGATGATCATCTCCTCATGTTGGTGCCTTTGGTGCCTTTGATGGATGGATCCCCATGCTTACCCCAGTGCGGAGAGCGGGGGAGCAGAAGCGTCTGGGGTTTTGGTGTTGAAAGCATGATTAATGGAGCCGCCTCTTGGAGAGACACTCTGTTTGCCCTTCTGCCCGGAAATATTTAAGACTTGGCCATGGTCGTCCCCGTTGCTTGGCCCTACTTGGCTCACTTGGCTCAACGTTGATCAATTGGCGCACGTCGCACAATCCCGCAGTGAACAGCCTCAATTTCTAGATCCCGCCAAGCTAATCTGAACGCTGCTAAGCTCACCATGGGAGTCAACGAAATCGACACCGTTCCTCACTCGGACGGTGCGTTCGAGAAGGACACCGGGGATCTGAAGCCCCAGACGGAGCTCGCCGAGGGGCTTGGAGGTGGAAAGGCCGCCGCCCTCAACATCGTCGAGAACCCGCTGAAGGTGAGTTTTGCGCCAAGATCCAGGATCATGAATCGAGAGACGCCCCCAAAATCCGCTGACACGCCGCCTTCTCGCAGCGCAAATCCCCACAGCAGACCGTTGAAGACGCGGTGGCATTCGCCGAGAGCCACAACCTGGGCGAACATGCCGCCCTCTTCGGCCGCGCGGCTATGGTCGCGCGCGACATGAACAACTTCAACGATGTCGCAGACCTTTCCGAAGAAGAGCGCCGGGCGCTCGAATATGAGCGGGACCACAAGTGGCACGGCCCGAAGATGCTGTGGTATTCGATCGGCCTCTGTGCCATCGGAGCCGCCACGCAGGGTTGGGATCAGACTGGCTCCAACGGTGCCAACCTGACATTCCACGAGGCCCTTGGCATCGACAGCGGGTCTTCCAGAGATGAATGGCTCATTGGTCTGATCAATTCCATCATCTTTCTTACGGCTGGTCTGATGTTGGTCACATTCGTTCCCCAGTTCTTATCGCAATTGCTAACCACGCGCACTGCAGCGGCGCTTTCATCGTCGATCCTCTCAACCACTACTTTGGCCGACGCGGCGAGATCTTCATCAC